CCGCACGGAGGAGGAGCCGCTGTCCCTCAGCCCGCCCGCCTCTCCGAGTCCAGCTGAGAGTCCAGGAGGCTTCAGGGCCCAGGCCTGCTGGCCGGCGCCCACGAGAAAGGCCTCGTGAGTGGCCTCGAGCCACCCGCTCCATGACTGTGACGTGGACACGTGCCACCGAGGGTGACACGATCCCACCCCAGGCCGATCTGGCCAGCCTGAGCTCCCACTGCCCTCAGAGCCCGCTCTATGAAAGCCGATGCATGTCCCGGGGGGGGGGGGGGGAGAGGGAGGAGGTGGCCTTACACAGCCTTACAGTTGCTCCGTGGAGACGCCATGAAGCCCCGGAGGCTGGCTGTGCAGCCCGAGCAGGACCAGAGCGCGGGGCCCACATGAGGTCGAGCCGAAGGAAGGTTCTAGAAATATAGCATGTGGGGCAGTCCTGGCGAGGCGGCTGCCTGAGTGGACACACACCTTCAGGGACCCCGCTGCTTCTTACCGTTGAGCCAAGGTATCGCGTACTCCGTTCTCAGAGGACTGTGGGAGGAATTCCGGGAGATGATGGGCTCGCTTCCCAAAAAGTTGTATGACGTCCCAGAGTAAAGCTCTCCGTCTTCGGGCCCAGGAGGAGAGGAGAAGGGCGTCAGCATGGTGCTGGGGGGCGGGGGGCCTTACACCTCACTTTCCTCCGCCCGGACACACGGCACTGCGCCTGCGTCAGCTCCTTTCCTGACACGGACAGTCTCAGGCTCCTTGTTAAACTGCTTTATGAGTCAGGGACAGAGGCGCACGCGGGCACAGGGCCTCCCTGCCTCCGTGTGAGACCCTCCAGGGCTCAGCCACCACCCTCCCCTCAATGGGAGTGCGACCCCACGTGGCCACGGGGCCAGGGGACCCGAACAAACAGCACAGGATGGCCTGGGCAGCCGTGCTGGGCCGAGTGGGGCTGCTCTCCTCTGGGCAATGAATTCAGGAGCCCAGCAGGGTCTCTGCAGAGGCGCCGGCACCCTCTGAGGATGGGGACTCTGGGAGGGACGCAGGGGACCCGAGAAGGGGAGGCGCTGCGTCCTGGTCCTGTGTGCGCCTCAGCTGCCAGCACAGCCCTGCCCGTGACAGCCACCGCACGACTCACCGACCATCACAGACGTGTAGCTCTGTGCCGGGTCAAAGGGACATCTTCCTTTGCCGTCTTCGTTTCTCCCCAGAAACTGAAAAGACGTCAGGTCCTGCAATTGAATGGAAAGAAAGAGTCCTCGAATGTCTGCATCTGTCAGACGAGGCATCTCTGCTGCGGCGTTACTTTCAGACGCGCTGTCAGGGCACCGAGGGAGGCGCATGTGCGGCCTGATGCCCGCCCGCTCCTGGCTCTGACACCCTCAGGAGCCAGTCAGGAGCCCTCCCCACACCCTCATCATGACCGTCTGCAGACAGGGCTCCAGGCCCAAGGGAGGCAGAGCCTGGAGTTGGAACAGCCTCTGTCGTGCAGAAGGCAGCCCCCGGGCCTGCGGAGCCCGCTCTGCTTCAACGCTGGCCGGGGCCGGGCCTCACCAGGTGGTCACAGGCCGGCTGGAAGGCGTTGGTCCCGCACACGTACAGGGCAGCGGTGCCAAGCGGCTGGAGCACTCGGATGTAGTTGAGACACTCGGTCTACAAGAAAGAAAAATGCACAACCAGCTTCCACCGGACGCCTCCACATCCACCCTGGGGGCACCGCCCACTTCCGAGCTCAGAACCCGCCGAGAAGGTGCTGACCCGGGCTCCCCGACACGCAGCTCCGCCCGTGCACTGACTGTGCCCTCTCACCGAGCCGCAGTGCCGATCTTCCCGCACCAGCCCCGCCCTGCCAGCTGCAGGGAGAGCAGGTGCAGAGACCCTGTCCCGCCCCGGGCGAACCCCCTCTGCTGCTGGACTGAGTGCTTTTCTCTGCAGGGCCCACAGGCTGGCTGTCAGGTGCCAGGAGGCGTCACTGCAGTTGCTAATTTGTACCCAGAAGAGAGGGGCTGGCCACAGAGGCAGTGAAAGCTGACCTCCCCACAGGAAGTGCTTATGCTCACTGAACACAGACCATGCCCTGGTGCCAGGCCTGCAGGGGGCACGCTGTGCAGCTCCCTCACCCACCCTCCCACCCAAACCCATGAAACTGGAAATGGCACTTGGGGATGGGCTGTGTCCGGCTGCCCAGCCCAGGGGAGAGGCTGGCCTGCGGAGGGCTCCGAGCCTGGCGCCACATCAGAAAGGCCGCGGGAAAGCCAGGTGCCACTTAAGCGCCCACCCGCTATTTTAGGTGAAATGTGCTGGGGTTGTATGTGCTGTCGTCTGAAATTATGCCCAAGAGGGAAGCTGTTTTGCTGTGACGGCTTTAGATCTGGTTGGAGGTAATTCGTGGCCTCCGACAGGAGCCGGGAGGGACCGTGCGCCTCACCCGTGGGCAGGGCGCGCTGTAATTCAGCTCGAAGACAACTCCTTGTGACGCTGTTACCACAGCGCAACCTGCACAGAGTAACTTTAGATGCAGCGACTTCAGTGGAAGCATGTAGCATTTTGCTAAAAATGTTTAGCAAAAAAACAACACTGGCCTTTTTATAAAAAAAGTTTTGTTTTGAAAATAGCCAACAACTGCTGAAATTTACCATAACCAGCTCAGCTGTCCTCACCAACTACCAAAGCAGGTGGGGCTCTGAGACCCGGAGACTGACACCTGCCCAGCTCCGGGGGGTGGGGTAACCCAGAGCGCCCGACCTGAGCTCGGCCCGTGCTCCCTGCACGGCCAGCACTCCGAGGTGCTAGGCCTCCTGGAGAGGGCAGATTCCCGAGGGATGAGAGCTGCCCCAAATCCAGGAGTCCTATGGCAACCCCCCAGGCACCAGAAATCCCTTTCCACAGCCCAAGTTTTAGGCCCCATGAATAATTTCAATTCAGTTCAACTTTAAAAAGTATTTCTCAAATCCCACTCTGTTTGATTCTTTCTTTGAGGGACCCAGTTTGGGAACAGGGGTAGGTGAGTCGTGGGAGACCTGACACAACCCCCAGGCTGCATTCCAGAAGCAGCAGTGTCCAGACTGAGACGGCCAGGCATTCACCTGGGCTTTTGTAGCAAAAAAAATTACCTGTTTTGACTTTCCCTTTTCTGCGCACTTGGCTTGTTTATCTTCTGAGACCTTCCAATATGCCTGTTGGGGGAATGGGAGTCACTTCAGTGCGCAGCCCCGTCTGGAAGCAGACGCTGGCGTAGAACACAGTTTACGAAGCAGCAGGGCAGGGCCGACGCCTCCGGACAGGGGAATCCGAGACGGCACGTGGGCCGAGAGCGGACGGAGGCCGGGAGGGTTCTGACCGGGACCCTCGGCTCCCAGCCCGTTACTCACTGCAAGCAGGAACGGACCCTACGCCTCTGCAAGGGGGCGGGTGACACCCATCAACAAGCTAAACTGTAGGTGCTTCCAAACGTCAAGGAGGGTTTCTTTCACTCCATTTACAGCGACTCCAGAGTCCCAGGGAAGAAGCCCTGAGGCTGCTTCCCTGTCCGCACTGTCCGCACGGGCGGGATCGGGTCTGCACGGCTCACAGGCAGGGCAGCCGCACCCGCATGGACCGGCTCCTGCTCTCACACCAGGCGGCGGTGAGCAGCGGTCCCTGGCCCCCAGATGGAGAGCCAGGCCCGGGGCTTCCATCCCGCCTCTCCTTCCCACACTGTCCCATCTCCCCGAGTGCTAGTCCAGGATCGATGTCAAATACATATATTTCTGCCCCGAGAATCAAAGCGGGCCGTCGTCCCGTCCTGGAGGCTGAGTGAACCGGGTGCCCTCCGCACTAACGGCTTCCAGCGGCCCCTGTTCTCAGAGAAACGGAGCCGCTCGGACACAGAAGCAGGATCGAGTCCCATTTCCAACAGCAGCGCCTTCAGAAATGAAGATGCAGGTAACCGCCTCCTCATCTCTGTGGAAGATGGCGGACGTGACCTCGCTCGCGGATGTGGCTCCCACTTTTTCCTCTTCTGCGGAGAGGAGGCCCGGCGGCCTCTCCCTCGCCCTGGGGCTTCGGCGATGCCACAGAGCAAGGCCAGCCCGGCCCGAGCACCCGCGGGCCACACCTGCACCTCACTTGCGAAGGGCAGTGCCCAGAAGCTCAGTTACGTGTCAGACAGAGACTGGCACCACGCTAGACTGTGGAGATTAAGACAACACAAAACAAGGCATAAAGGGAGTGCCGTGTAGCAGGAAGTACACACACGGACCTGGCCACCTTGGTGTCCGAGACTGAGAAAGGTACCCCAACACTAAGGCCTCTCGGGCCACGGAGAGGCCTGGTCAGGGAGGGGGCCGGCTGGGCCTCAAGTGAGGTCCCGAATGAATGCCGACGACCAAGGGGCTTCAAACACGTTTAAATCCACGAGTCCATGGTCATCTTCTTAAAAAAATCAAAAACTCAGTCTCCCTTTAGAAAGACACGACTAGCTGGCGACAGGCATGTCCCCTTTATTTATTGATATTTTTTTTTTTTTTAGAGAGAGGGTAAGGGAGAGGGATAGAAAGATAGAAACATCGATGAGAGAGGGACATCCCGATCAGAGGCCTCCTGCACGCACCCCTACTGGGGGTGGAGTTCCTGGGTTGACGCTCAACCTCGGAGCCACACTGGCTGGGCCATTTCCCCTTTAAGGGCAATTTCTGGCTCACAGATGGAGAAGGAGAACTTTGGAAAGTCCCGTTTCACATCCTTGATATACAGGTGCTCTGGCTGCAGCGGTCGAGCCGGGAGGAGCACCTGCCTCGGCGGCCGGGGACCCACAGGGCTGCGGTGGCTCTCCCAGTGGGGGACCCAGGGCGGTCAGGGAAGGGGCGGCCCGAGGACAGAGTGCGGGGCACTCTGATCGCCACTGGACTCAAACTCAACGGTCACTCTGAGCGCGCCTGGAGCTGAACTGATTTTTGGATGTGATCATGGGATTTTGGTGATTTTGAAAAAAAGGAGTCCTTTCCAGGGAGACACTTAGAAGATGAAGACCCTTGTCTGGGTTTTGCTTCAAAGCCACGTGGAGCGAGTGGGGGGTGGGGATGTGGGGGAGGACAGGGGCAGCCCTGCCCGCGGAGCCGGGTGGGTGGAGGGTCCGTCACAGCACTCCCTCTGCTCCTGTGCACCCTTAAGATCTTCCTCAATAACGTCAAAAACCCCAGCTGAAAAGAGGTGGTTCCCGGTGAGGATGTGGGGGACACCTGAGCTGGGGCTGTGTGGACACAGAGCAGGAAGGCAGCTTCCGGATGACAGGGCCCGAGGCCCACGGACAGGAGCCTGGGAGGCCCCGCCACGCGGCGAGCATGGCCAGGAAGGGGCCTGACGCCCGGGGAGGAGCCGTGTGCCGATTCGAGGAAACACTGGAAGGGTCTGCAGCCCAAATCGCAGGGGCAGGGAGCCCGGGCCATACCTCGTGCCGCTTCTGGGAGACGTTGAGTGCGCTCACAGCAAACACGGCTTCCCGGGCGCCCACGTACAGGATGTCCTCGTCCTCGCTCAGCAGCAGGGCCGAGTAGTTGAAGATGCCCGGCTGGTGAAACTGCGCCAGCTGCACCTCTGGGGAGAGGGGGCGCATTAGGCATTTCTGAGCCCAGACACACCCTGAGCACGTCTCCCTCAGTGTGGTGCCGCGCTGCCAGGGCCGGTGTGGACCCCCTACCACGGTGGCCAGCCCCGCCAGCCAGAGCTCAGGCACCTCTGGGTGGAGCAAAACTGCCGAGGCAGCCACCAAGTGCGTGGGGACCCCTGAGAGGCCCGAGCCACTGCGCTGACCAGTGCGGGGCCTGGCTCCCTAAGCCCACTGTTTGAGATCCAAACCGTGCACCCCGTGTGCCTCAGGCAGCGTGCCTCCCAGGAGCACGACCTCTACGTGTGTGAATTCTCGGGAAAGTGACGCCACAGCAGCAAGGCCCTGGCACCACGACCTTGTGACCTCCCAGGAGACTACTATCCAGACACCGCAAGCTGCTGACCGTGGCGGCTCCCTCCCCGTCCTGACAAACTCTTCTCTCTGTGTTTGAATCACCCACAGATTAGGTGCACACAGCATTTAACTATTTAGGATGTTCTTATTCAAGAAAAGACAAAAAGATGTACCTTTAATAAAATCGACTTCAATGAATATATCCCTTAACCAGGCATTTTTCAGGGACAACCAACACAAACTGACCCCATGGAGAGGACTGGCCTTCTCCCTGCGAGGCCACTGACTGAGCGTGGCTGTTCGGGCAGGAGGAATGCTGGTTAGCCACCAGGATAACACAACTCTGCTGGCGTTGTTTCCTGAGGAGCCGCTTAACCACCGCATCTATGTGAGAGCTCTGAACTGGCTTTCTGTGTGTCACCGCGCTCTGGC